AAATGGCTGTGCAATTGAACAAAATTTTTTGATTAAGACTTCTGCCTTCCTCTCTTTTGTGAAAAAACTACCTACCCGATACTTCTTTTGAAAATTTTAAAAATAATAAAATTTTGAAAATTTTGGAAATTATAAAAATTTTAAAAATTATCACACACCTTATCGTTCTCTACTTCAATTTTTCGTAGTTACACCTTGCATCAAAATTTTTGAATGTATTATTTCTTTTTTTAATAAATCTACTTCTTAAAACCTTTTTTTTTGATGAACCTGTATACACATAAACGGATTGAAAAAGACCTACTTCGTCGGCCGATAATTTTATTAAAAACCGCTTCATTTGCTTGTATCTTCTCTCACTTAATCCGCTTATCTGGTGCACGAGGCGCGTATATCATCCCAAATCAAATCCTGTACCCCGAAATGCAATTAATCGCGAGTTAGAAATAAGATTACCCGTCGTACTTTGCTAATAAACTCGGGCAAACTTCGCTCTGCTTTGCCTGCGTAATCCTTTTCTGAACAGTCGAAAAAGTACCTAATTCGGTTTCGCGTTTAGTTGTCGATGGGATTATGATTTTATTAGGCGAAGGCGACAACACAAGCCGGCAAATTTCGGAAAGAGATCCCAGTTGATATTGAATTAAGTCTTGAATAAATTTTCTCAACGAGATTAAAAGAGATGGAATGGACCACTTCGAAGATAACCACCCTAAAATGAAGTAACGTAATTTAATTTGTTAAGAAAAATTTTTTTTGCATAGAAATAGTTTATGGGCCGGAAAGTGACATTTGCTACTTTTTATATTTGTTTAACTTTATTTTTTGATATCGTACTAGAAATACTCTTGTAACTCTATAAACTGCACTGTTCAAAATTTCATAACCATTTTAACACCAAATTAACACCATACATGGTCTATATCGATACAAACTAAAATGGTGTACACAGTATAAAAATAAATTTTACCTGGTGTAAATTGAACTCCTTTTCAGTGTTAAATATTATGTGTTTTTGGTCAAATTAAATCATACTATACAGAAAAAAAACGAAAAAAAAGGAAACAAGAAGTTCCTTGACGCATTACTAGTATATTACCAGTGGTATTATTCCAGAAAATTGAACCTTCAACTCGCTAGAGATAATGTTTTTAGTGCGTTCCACCAACTTAAAATACTTCAAGTATGTTTCCACCTATTTAAGGTCTCTTTAGTATCAAACAACTTGTAGTGGCACACCAAAGCAAAGGACTACCTGAGCTTATATACTCTCCATGTAAGTCAACAGAGGCGAGATTTAAGAACATCACGTGATACACACCGCCTTTGCCGCGATCGGTACATACTATGCAACCAGGAATGCACGGCAAATTGTTTTAATCGTTTTAACAGAGTGCTTTAGGTTGAAATAACTCTTATTTTACAAACAACATATTTAGTAAACTGAACCATACAGCGGGTTGGTTTCCCTAAAGTTTTCTGGGTTAATTTAACCAGTTTAAAAAAAATAAAATAACTATATGGTTTAGTACCGTCAAACTAATCTTTGTTTATATGAACCTTCCCACATTTGATTTAAATAAATACTTATGGGTCAACTAAATTAATATAGTTAAATGAACTATTCCTTTTTTTCTGTGTAGGTGCACTTCTCAAATATTTTTAGATTAACACCGTTTTGGTGTTTGCTGTATATAACATTTTCAACCATAATTCATGGTGTTATATTACACCACTTGGTGTTGGATTTTGACACCATTTTAGGATTACTCTTTACACCACAGATATTTTAAACCGTGTGTAAAACAATCTGAAAAAAATTTGTAGGTAAAAGTTTTTTCTTTATTATTATAATTACTAGATACAAAGTTAGTTTAGGTACACTTTTTTGTATTTTTCATTCTAAAACACTTAAATTTAAGGTATATGACTTAAAAAAAACAATAATTTACTTGTATTTTCAAAAACCTAAACTTAAATATAAAATTACCAAAAAAACTCAAATAATATTAAGAGACACATTCAATAATGTTTTGCTTAATATTTTTGACATCTTGTATCATATCATACGCAAATGTGCACTCCTTAGGCGGCAGTATACTCTGAAAATATTTTCTTATTTCCTCCATATCGTCATAAATAATTCCGGTTATTTTCCCGAAGAATATCCGGTCGATTTCCGCTTGAACACATGCGGCCGTGGTGCAACTATGAAGGACCACGTTGTAGGAAAATTCAACTTTACCCATCAACTCTTTCCATTTGTACTGGGTCGACTCGGTTGTGTACGTAGAATGTAGGGTTATGTTGTCGAAAGTATCCACCACCAAGTTCTGGTAGAACACCTGTAAATTGCCAAGTCTAGTTAGGTTTGTCGCAACGCAGTCCTGTATTTCGGGTATTGAGGATCTTTGGAGGAGGTATGTGGAGGAGGAAGTTTCGTTTGCCGTGGCCTCGAAGCTTTCCAGACACAACTCCAGGGTTTTGTTTTGACGCAGGCTTAGGTCGTTCTTCAATTGTTCTATTTGGATTGCAAAATTGTTGACTGAGTTTTGGGATGCCTTCGCGTTGTCTGTGTACGCTTGAATTAGTTCTCTAAGGTCTTCATCTGATTTTCTAAAAGAAAATACCTAAAAACCAAATGTTAATATCACAATTAATCAATTAAAAAGATGATTACGCAATTAATACGCCTTTTACAAAAAAAATTCTATCCTCCGTGACTGTTTTTGCTTTAAATTTGATGCAACGGATGGCGCTTTAATAATTTTAAATAAACAAAAACCTCTGTTTACGACATTATATATGCATGTGATTCCTGAAGGTCAGTTAGAATTTATATGCAGATGAGAGTGTTGCTGTTTTATAATTCAAAAGTTTAAGTTCATTAATTTGCTATTTAAAAACCTATCCACCGTGAAGTGTAATATCTTAGTAAGTACATTTTTTTATAAATATTTTATGTACCTAGGTACAATCGTATTATTAAAAAATATTAAGGTGTCAAAAGATACAATAACTTATTTCAAATATACAAAGGGATGTTTTAAAAAAACATACAAAATCCTAACCTCCGAGAAGTTCTAATATTCAAAATGTATGATTTCTAAAAATTCTTGCATTAGTGCAGAACTACTTATGTTATGTTATTACTAGACCTGGTGGCTTCTCAAAAACCTCATTCTAGAGTCTAGACTAACAGTAAAACAACCAAAAATAAATAATAATTATTTTCACTTGGGGGACAAAACGTTTCTTAAGATTTTCTTGTGTTGCTAACCATAAAACTAATTTAAAATATGCTTTTTTCATCAAGAATGCGAAAAAATATTAATATTGTTAATCAAATCTATACCAAATTTACTTACATTTTTTGCTACACAAAACAATAAAAATAATACTACTAATTGATTCATTTTCAAGTGAACTGTAGATTACAAATAATAGTTGCTTATCCTGTGATCTGTTTTTATATACTTTTTATAAGTGTTTTTACTCATGTTTTCATTGATATGTATTTTTAAGTAAACTTAATAAATATCTTACTCAAACAAACACACGATACAATGCATGACCTTAATTATATTTTTTTCTCTTAAAACCAAAACATTTCCTTATTTTCTCACTTTATTTTTTTACTACTCATCGTCAAACCCACTATCTACAGAAATTTCTTCAAACCGTATGAAATTTGCAGTAGGGTCGAGATGGACGCTTTCATACAAGAAACTTGCTCTTTAAAATCCAGTTTTTAAATTTTAAGGGAATGCTGAGTGGACGAAAATGCTTATGAATATTTTAGGCGTCTGGATGCATATCAAAAATTTTTCATGAGACCGAACGGGTTTTCCTTCTTGAGTTATTTTAATGGCTGAAAATCGCTGCAGTTTTTGAATAAAAATGTAATAAATTTTAGGGGAAATTGCTTTACCAGGATTTTTTTAACTTTAATGGCATTTCTTTAATTAATGTTTTTTATTATTATGAAACAGTTTGCCTTATTGGCAAAAGCGATAATTTCCAAATAATTTGTATATTTTGTGTAACTTCTAATTTATATGAATACATTTAAAAATTATACTAGTGATAATAATAATCTTTATTCCAAAGTTTTGCATAATAAAATTTTATTTTTATTGGTTTTTAATATTATTATATATATGGGTGAATATATTGAGATGTCCCCCAAGTAAAAATGATTATTTTTAATTTTTGGTTGTTTCACTGTTAGTCTAGAATGGGGTTTTTGGGAAGCCACCAGGTCTAGTAATAACATAACATAAGTGGTTCTACACTAATGCAAGAATTTTAAGAAATCATACATTTAAAAATACAATTGTACATACATAAAATACTTATAAAAAATCTACTACTGAGATATTACACTTCACGGTAGGTTTTAAAATAGCAAATTAATGAACTTAAAATTTTGAATTATAAAACAGCAACACTCTCATCTGCATATAAATTCTAACTGACCTTCAGGAATCACATGCATCTATAATGTCGTAAACAGAGGTTTTTGCTTATTTAAAATGATTAAAGCGCCATCCGTTGCATAAAGTTTAAAGCAAAAACAGATTCACGGAGGATAGAATCAATTTTTGTAACACCTACATAAATGGTTATAAAAATTATTTCTTTTAATTTTTAATAATATTTTATATGTAATTCGATTGCTATGGATGTGTTTAATTTACTTAGTGAACTGATATGTTTAGTATGCTTTTACTACCTCAGATATTTGAAAACATATAAGTTAACCTGGAAAGAGTAACAGTCACGGAGGATAGGTTTTAGACTTTTAAAACATTGCAGAAAATAATTAATTGCGGTTAAAAATCTGGAACCTGAGCTGTAATATCTACTTAATTATGAAAGATCAAAACACCATCGGGGGACATTTCGTGAGATATATATATATATATATATATGGACTATAGACTATAGACTTTAATAATGTAACATTTCCAATTGATCATGGTTCGCCGCTGAGTTAGATGTGGGCAGCACTAGTCGGTTGGTTGGATGGGAAAAAGGGTAGTCGAGTGTATGATGAAAGGCGGCGAACGGCGGCGGCCGCATTCGTTGCGGCGCTTCTTCGTCCCCAAAAGGCTCTCAAGGCGTTTGAAGCGTCGCAGTTACTCTTCTGCTACAAACAAGCCATCGATGGTGTTACAAGAACAAGCAAACAAAACAAACCTCGTTATATTACTTGTAATTGATAACGTGTTCAATTTTGGCAATTTGTTTATCGATGTGGATTAAAATAACACTTGCAATTTGCGATATCACTTTCTTTAGAAAATGATCTCTATAGAATAAACCTAGTGTAATAATAATTGTTAGAGTGCTTCGTTTGAAACGAACGTAGATTAAAAATCACATTGAAATAAAATTCAGAGCTCCTAATATTAATTTTAAGAACTGATTTTCACTTTGAACCTTACATAAAAAAAATAAAGAAATATAGTTAAATATTAAGATCAGCTCACATACATACGTATATTTTACGACGAAGATGTAAAACTTAATATAACAAGCTTAATAAAAAAAACGAGGAAAAATGTACCAACATAAGATTGCACGAGCGTTACATGTTAGTTATGAATGCAATTTAGAAAATCCGCTTGTATTATAACAATGAAAAATTCACTTCCTCTTGTGCATTTTAGTATTATAAGGAATTTGACAATTTTACGCTTACAAACTTTGTTAAGTTTTATTTATAGAAAATCGATTCGACCTTTTAGGTATAAAAATTGTTGTTTATGGCCACTTTTTGTATTAAACTTTATACAAAAAAAATACCTACAAGTTTTTTGCTATACTTCCTTTTTGTATAAACAGTAATATTATCATGAATTATTACTCAAAGACGGCTAAGAAAACTGTAAATTTATTTTTAAAACCTATACCTTACATTTAAAAGGATATTTAAGACCGAAATCAACATAAATACTGCAATAAATTGTTCCTGACATTCTGGGAGCTGCCATCGATTTTCTCGTTGGAAAAAAATGACTTGGCCAGTGGCCAACCTATTACACATTCTTTAAATAGTCCCTTTATCTGTACCACCATGTCGATAAAATATCGCCCTTATATTTTATCTCAAATTTCCGTTTTTGGTGGCAGTAAGTTAAAATATCGAAGATTGAAAATGCATATTCCGGTTTAGAGTATTACCCGTGAAATCGGGCGAAAATTGATTTTTTTATGGACGACAGAGGTACACATTGTGACGAAAAATTGCCTGCATTTTTCCGTCCCTTCCTTTTATAGGAATTCATCGCGATTTGCCACGTTTTAACCCTCGAGAAAATTGAGCTTTTTCTGTTATTATCAAAAAAAGTATATTATATATAGTTATAACATTTTTAAATTATATTAAAAAAAATTTAATACAATTACATAACAAATATTTAATTTTTAATTACTAAAACTATAATAATCAAGATAAACATTATACTTTTTAGCAACGGATGGCGCTTGAATCATTTTAAATAAGCAAAAACCTCTGTTTACGACATTATAGATGCATGTGATTCCTGAAGGTCAGTTAGAATTTATATGCAGATGAGAGTGTTGCTGTTTTATAATTCAAAAGTTTAAGTTCATTAATTTGCTATTTAAAAACCTATCCACCGTGAAGTGTAATATCTCGGTAAGTAGATTTTTTTATAAATATTTTATGTATGTACAATTGTATTTTAAAAAAATATTAAGGTGTCAAAAGATACAATAACTTATTTCAAATATACAAAGGGATGTTTAAAAAAACATACGAAATCCTAACCTCCGTGAAGCTATCTTCCGCGAAGCTTAAATCCAAAAGCACTTCCCTTAGTTAATACATTTACAATTTGAGCACATAACCTAAAATTTGAAAGAAATGCACTAGATTCTGTCATAAAAGTTGCCAGATTTTGTTTGAATTTACCTTCATTACAAAAATGACTTAATCAACAATTAATAAAAACGCCAAATTTACAATTTGCATTTTTTTGTAATTTATTTGTAATTAAGCTAAATTTAAACAAAATCTGGCAACTTTTTTGACAGAATCTGGAAACGCTGGTTGTTACCAACCATAACATAATAAATTAAATTAGGCAACCAGATTAGCATAAAGTTCCTAGTCAATCAGTGGCGTACTTTTTGGTAGGATAAAGGTTATCATAAATTGTTTTTAGTCTTAAGAATTTAGAAAAAAAATCTTTCAGGTGCTTCTTTATCTACCCATTTTAATACATAATAATACAGTGTATTTTATTCGTTCAATTTGGAAACCAATTATACAAATTAAATCTACCGCTTCCCAACCGGGTTTATTTTAACCTAAATAAATATTTTTTATTTCATACTGTACTTTAATGTGCCATTTCCTGGACTCATTTGAGTCCGGAAAATGATACATTACATCACTAGGCCGGTAAAGTAACTTTACCGGACTAGTATATTTTAACTAACACATGGTTATTTCTGAAAGATTTTTATTACAATAAACTCAGTTAAAAATGTTACAATAAACTTACTTATAAATGTTAAAAGTAATATTGCAGTTTGAGTTATTTGAAATATTTACAGGGGCAGCATCAGATACAACTTGGGATTTATCTTTAGTAACTAAAGATGATGAAACTTGATTCTGGTGGTGAAGAACTTGGACAAATGTTTCGCCGCCTTGGATCATTCGAGCCACTTTTGTTTTACTTTCCAAGGATTCCTCCACATATTTCTCTGCCACAGAACTGCTTTTCCATCCACCGTGGCGCTTCAGTATGCTAACATCGGCTCCAGCGTTGGCTAAGAGCGTTGCCGACGTTCTTCGAAAACAATGCCCTGTATACCTTTCAGGATGCTCTAATTTTAAAAACTCGGCAATTTTCCTAGGTGCTCCTCCTATTGAATGGATGCCCACTCGTTGACTCACACATCTACCTTGTCTATACCCAATGAAAAATGCGTTTTCTGGGATGTTTTTTGGGCGTAACCTGCGATATTGACGGAAGATCTTTAGAAAATTTTCTTCGATTACAGTAAACACCCTTTTGATATAAGTTTTGGTGTGGTTGACGTTAACAACTATTTGCGATCCTGTATCCTGAAGATCCTCATCATTAAGATTGTATAGCTCCTCTCTTCTACACCCCCCTGAGATGCTTAAGAGTGCCACAACCTAAAATAATACAAAATCTCCATAAATGCCGTTTCTTTATATAATATAAACGACAAAAAGTCACTCTTGATAAAAATGTTTGCTTATCCAAAAAATAAGGACCCTGTATGGTATGTAAGATTTTTGCCTTGACAAATCTTATTACGGAGAAGCAAAAATTGTTATCAAGAATGACTCTTTGTCGTATCTTTAAATTATTGGACCATTTGTCCTCTTGTCAACCACATCCGCGGACATACTGTATACTCGTGGCACTTTGACTTTGTTAAAATAGGTACAACAGAAAAAGCCTTACCTTTATTAATAGATATTTCTCTGTCGGTGCTTCGTTCATAAATCTATCGACTTCTTCCCTAGTTATTGACCATGACCATTGATTTTATCATTGAGTATTTGGCCCATAATGTAGAGCTGCTGGACTTTTTTGACTAAAAATAACCAATTACATTAGGAACCTACCGTTGAAACTGCCATCCATAATTTTTCACCAAAGCTAATTACATAATTTTAGCATTAAAAAAGCAATAAACTCTTACCGCATCCAAGAAGTAAGCCAACATTATGTTTTCATTTAGACTTTTCTCCACATTATAAGTTTTGCGCCATTCACAGAATATCTCGTATTCCTTTTGATATCGTCCGGAAGACTTGACCGGGATAAGTTTCGCCGTCGCTTCAGAACTTTTTTTCAAAATCTCTGTATCCATTTTATTAGAAATTATTCAAAACGATGCTGAATTGACAAACAAGACAATCAATAAAAAAAACTCTTTGTTACTGTTAGCAACCGATTCAAAGCATACTACATTATAGTTTGTTTAGACAATACTGAAACCATCATGTACTGACACATTCCTGACACATTCACCTGAATATACAGTTCAATTACCAAAAATTTGAAAAAAATATTGAACAGTATGAAATAAAACATTGTACGACACACGGCCGTGAAATGTCATTAAAGTACTTGTCTACAAATTCCAGACTCGGCTCCTTCGTCGCCTCGTCCGTAAACATCTAGACTCGTACTTTAATAAGCCATTTCCCGGCCTTGTAACGTAAATTACTATTAATTACACAGTATTAAATAGTTGCTCGCATTAAAATGTATGCAGAAATGTTTGCTCTAGAATTTCAAACATTTTTGTTAACTCTATGACTATGCTATGCGTTCGAATATCGAATTGTTTGCAACAAATTAAATTTTTGAAATAAATCGAATATAATTTTCGCTATTCGGCGATGTAACATGCAATTAAAACGATCGGAATTAATTTATTTGAATGCCGAACAAACCGTCGAAACCGACGTCGGTTTGTCGGTTGTTTTTGTTTTAAGGGGTTGGTAGTATAGCACCGAGTGTCAGACTGCAGTCGAGATGATAAATCTTCGCTCGCCACAGGCTGCGGCGGTTCATAATTAATGATATATTTAAAATTGGATACCGAATTGCTGTCGGCATTAATTCGAGCAATATTAACGATTAAATTTCGCGCAACGTGTAAATATGCCGCTTGATTAAAACGTTCTGACGAATTGCCTTGATTTCAAGCAATTTGTCATGAATTTGGTTTTTATCTGATGTGTTATTTTTTATTAATTCTTTCGATAATTTGTTTTTTTTTTTTGAATAAAATATAATCATGAAAATTGGACAGTTGACCATTTAAAATTACGACTAACAATAATAAATATTGTTTTATTAAAAGTATCGAGTTTACAAAATACCAAGCAATTTTCTTACTTGGATTTTTCAGGTGCGTATATTTTAAATCAATTCAGTATTCACGTTTTTTTACTACTGCCATGACGCATCGTCCATAAAAACTTTTTCTTCGTGAAATTTTAAAGAGCAACACAAAATCGTAAAAAGAAAAACCACGAAGAAATACATAAAAAATACGAAAAATCGTAAAAAACATTCCCTGCCATTCTATATTCAAGATTAATTATCTCAGTTCCAGTATATGTTCATCTCACCATTCCGCAAGTATGGGTTTGATTTATTCTTATTTGTATTATTATTATTATTATA